TTGTTTTATCTGCCCCGGCGTTTGCTGTCGGCGCGATATTAGGAGCGGCGTTAACTGTTACGGTAACATTATCAGTTGCAGTAGCACCGCCATTGTCTGTAACGGTTAGTCTGAATACATATGTTCCCTGTACCAGGTTATTAACAGCCGTTGACGCCGCGTTGGGCGTTGCTATCGTAAACGTAGTCGGTCCGCTCACTCTTGTCCATTGATAAGAGGCGATGTTTCCATCGGGGTCAGTACCACTACCGGTAAACGAAGTAGTATTTGTTGGAAGCGTTATGGTTTTATCCGGACCTGCGTTAGCTGTCGGCGCCTGGTTGGGAACAGGGTTAACGGTGACAGTAACGTCATCGAAGCCCGTTGCTCCCGCATTATCAGTAACCGTAAGCCGGAAAACATAAGTACCCTGCACCAATCCACTTAAAGTAGTGGTTGCTGCATTGGGTGTACCGAGCGTGAAAGTTGTAGGTCCACTAACCCGTGTCCATGCATAGCTGGCCACGCTTCCATCTGCATCAGTACCCGAACCAGTCAGACTGGTTGAATTAGTTGGAAGTGTAATCGTCTTATCAGTGCCAGCGTTTGCAACCGGAGGCTGGTTACCCGGCGCAGTGGCTGTTGGCGCAACATCAGCATAGGTGACGTTACGACCGATCTTCACATTATCATAATAAATGACCCATGTATCGCAAGGAGCACCACCGGAGCAGTTACCCCAACGGTTCATTCCTAATTTAAGATATGCATTGGCAGCCCAGCTCAGGTTGCTTTTGGTAAAATACAATTCGCCATCAATCCATACTTCTACCATACCACCGGAAGCAGCCCAATTCACGTGAAAGACTACATCATGCCAAACGTTAGCCGTAATATTTTTCAAGGGACCACCTGATGCGGTCACTGTCTGGTGAGTACCACCGGGGCCACCGCTGGGATTAACGGTAACATCCCATTTACCATCACTACCATAGATGGCCAGCTCAGCAGAACCCGAACCGTTGTCAGGATGCCATTGGATAAAGTGACCACCATAACTACCGGTCCAGTTACCACCTGAAACGGGTGTTTCAAAGTAAATTGAAAAGCCGTACCACATATCTCCCTGGTCACTGATACTTCCTGTTGTTAATTCAGCTCTCCAGCCAGATGAAACAGATGGATCACC